AAAAAAAAAAATAATTATTATAAAAATACATAAAGAAATAAAATTTACATATATTTTTCATTATAATATAAAATAATCAAGACATTTCTAAATTAAAAGATAATTTGAGGTTAGAAACCGTTCCGTTTTCTGTAAAAGTCACTCCATGGGGAACCCAGTCAACGAAAAAGTCGGAATCTTACATGATCGTCGGAATCTTACTCTGATTGGTTGATACCTCTCTAGTACTTTTCCGAGATTCCGATTTCCGAAGTTCTGTTTGACATGGGACAGCACCCTAAGGATCTCTAACTAAACCCAATTATGGTTGACGTGTAAACGTAGTCTATGGCACAATGCTGCATCTGCACGCCGCTACCAACATACTACCAACAGCGCTTCTACTGTGTTTGTGGGTGTTTACGATAATTCAAGTTCGAGTTAGTTTTACTAAAGCCGAAAAATGAGATAGACATAACCATCTAGAACCTTTATGATTCATGACAACTCGACGCTGTCTTGTATTGCTTGAGTTAAATTCATTGAATTTGTTGAGTTTATTGAGCAAATTTTATTGTAATAGAAAAATGTCATTTATTATTATTATTAATTATATTATTAATTTATTAAAGAGGTATACCAACATACATACCAACATTATTTGTTTCTTTCATAAACTGATTTGCAGTTGACATTTTTCTATTACAATAAAATTTGCTCAATAAACTCAATAAATTCAATGAATTTAACTCAAGCAATACAAGACAGCGTCGAGTTGTCATGAATCATAAAGGTTCTAGATGGTTATGTCTATCTCATTTTTCGGTCCTAGTGAAACTAACTCGAACTTGAATTATCGTAAACACCCATCGTCAACCTCGTCAGAGCTTTCCAACATTTCCAACGACAGGAGCCATATTATAATATGCGGCATCGGGATTGGCGGCCGAAGATCGGCGCAACGGTATGGCGCAGAGAACACCCTCTCTCCAACAAAGCCGCAGGCGTAAACGCGAAGCTCGCGCCAAAATATGCCGGCCCGTACACGGTAGGCCGGATCGTCACCCTCGTTATCTTCGATTTAAAAGATGAGAGGAGATGATGGCTTAGGCACATACATGTGCAGGATCTAAAGCCAAGAAATGGGTAGAATGCCCCTATCAATTAGGCTAACGAGGCCGCCTTGCCGGGGATTTTGAGGATATAAGGGCTGATTCCGAGAGCCTCAGTCCAGAATTTGTTTAAGATGTCCAGCTCGTGGAATCTGATAAATGAGATAGAGATTTTCCTGGCCGACGAGCCAGCACCAAGACCGAAACCTACGCCAAGGCCGACGCCGCCGACACTGATGACGCCGTCACCACCGGTGCGCACGGTCCCCAGGGTGGGGACCGCAATCCAGTGCTCAGACCGGCAGCAGCAGCGCAAAGCTGCCTTCCTGGCCTCGCCGCCGCCGCCGCCGCCGCTAACCAAGAGGCGGAAACGCCGCGTGCACCATCACGCACACGGCGCCCCACGAAAGGAAACCGACCAGGCCCGCCGCCGTGCCGACCACCGCACCGCCGGGACCAGCCGCTACCGCCAGACGGCCATCTTGGGCCGTTGAAACTCGGCCAGCAACGACCGTTGCCGCACCGTCGATCCCGGTTACCGCCGCACCACGGCCGCTACCAGCCGTCGCACGGCCGCCACCAGCCGTCGCACGGCCGCCACCAGCCGTCGCACGGCCGCCACCAGCCGCTGCCCGGCCGCCACCAGCCGCCGCACCGCCAGCACCACCGACCCGGAGACCGACCGATTCGCCGCCGTTA